CATGATGCAAGTGTTGTGTTTAGAGGGGGGGAGGGGGGGAGAGAGAGAGAGAGAGAGAGAGAGCGCAACCGCTGTTGCAGTCAGGGTGATTTAAGCGGAGCGCATTCCTGCACAGCGCTCACACACCGGAGGACGAGCCGCGGTGAAACACACACCGCAACGCCTCACTGGGGCTGGGAGCTCACCTTAAAACCCTCAAATTGGAGGTGGAGGAAGTGCCGGGTGTCGCCTGAAAACGTAGCGGTTGCATGCACAGCAGCCTCGGCCGAGGGTAACGTTGTGTGTTCGAGGACTGTGCGCTGCGATGTCGGAGTTTCTGGTGAGTCTACTCGGGGAGCGGCTCGTCAACAGCGAGAAAGCCGAGGTGGACGTGCAGTCGCTGGGCGCCAAGCTGTCCCTGGTCGGGCTCTTCTTCGGATGCAGCCTGAACGCGCCGTGCAAGCAGTTCAACGGCAGCCTGTGCGAGTTTTACAGCAGGTTCAAAAAGACGTCTGAACACAAGGACAAATTGGAAATCGTCTTCATCTCGTCTGATCAGGACCAGAAACACTGGCAAGACTTTTTGCAGGAGATGCCATGGCCTGCGTTACCTTTCAAAGACAGACACAAAAAGGTAAGATGGGTTGTGGTGATGAAGAGGAGCACTGCCAAAATCAGTGCTTATTCTCTCAGGAGGTTTCTTTTTTTTTTTTTTTTTACTGGGTTTAGTGGGCTGAAAACCACCGGTACCCCCCTGTAGGCCGTGTCTGCCTCTCCTGTCAGTGCACAGGTGTATGCTTTTAATTTGGGTCATAAAATTGGTTTCCCTCACACCTCTATCCTCATTTCTAGTCAGATTCCCTCTATCTGACATTAACCAGCTGGACCTCTAATCATTAAATGATCTGTCTTTAAACCAAGTAAATCTAATTATTGATAATATAATATTATACACAAAATCAGATTTAACCAAGCTAGTGGTTTAAAATAAAAAAGGCAGCCACTGATTCCACATTGAAAATGAAAATGATCCTTAAAATGTCAGCAGTGTTTGCACAGAAAAAATATTAGAAATTTCATGAGAAGTTTTTTTTTTTTAATCAGCTTTCACTATTTTAATAATATAATCATAAGAAAGCCAGTGAAGGAACCATTTATCCTTTTGACTTAATTTTATCAAGATAATCTAAATATGGCAGGCCAGACATTCCTAACTAATTAACAGGAGAGGAAACAGAAAGACTACAGCTCTGTTCAAGCAATAGTTACTGCCATGTTATATTTTAGCTGAACAATGCTACATCTATTATATTATCCTTGTTACTGCATTTGTATCCTGCCCAGTGAAGGCCTTTTTATTTTGCCATCATCTCATCTATATCCTGATGGTGTCAACAATAAAGTGCTTGGACTATTTCTAGTTCACTACTTTTATTTATCTCACTTATTAAGTACTTTTTATACGTGTGTATTTTTTTTGTAAATCAT